CACTCAAAATCTCACGATACATGGCCCCATTCATTCTTTCCTTTACACGGATCGGTCGTCCTGTTCCCTTTGCAGAAAAACAGCCCCAAAGCATGATGTTTCCACCCCCATGTTTCACAGTAGGTATGGTGTTCTTTGGATGCAACTCAGCATTCTTTCTCCTCCAAACACGTCTAGTTGAGTTTTTACCAAAAAGTTATATTTTGGTTTCATCTGACCATATGACACCAAAAAGTTCTATTTTGGTTTCATCTGACCATATGACATTCTCCCAATCCTCTTCTGGATCAATGCTCTCTAGCAAACTTCAGATGGGCCTGGACATGTACTGGCTTAAGCAGGGGGACACGTCTGGCACTGCAGGATTTGAGTCCCTGGCGGCGTAGTGTGTTACTGATGGTAGCCTTTGTTACTTTGGTCCCAGCTCTCTGCAGGTCATTGACTAGGTCCCCCCGTGTGGTTCTGGGATTTTTGCTCACCGTTCTTGTGATCATTTTGACCCCACGGGGTGAGATCTTGCGTGGAGCCCCAGATCGAGGGAGATTATCAGTGGTCTTGTATGTCTTCCATTTTCTAATAATTGCTCCCACAGTTGATTTCTTCACACCAAGCTGCTTACCTATTGCAGATTCAGTCTTCCCAGCCTAGTGCAGGTCTACAATTTTGTTTCTGGTGTCCTTTGACAGCTCTTTGGTCTTGGCCATAGTGGAGTTTGGAGTGTGACTGTTTGAGGTTATGGATACTAGGTGTCTTTTATACTGATAACGAGTTCAAACGGGTGCCATTAATACAGTTAACAAGTGGAGGACAGAGGAGGCTCTTAAAGAAGAAGTTACAGGTCTGTGAGAGCCAGAAATCTTGTTTGTTTGTAGGTGACCAAATACTTATTTTACTGAGGAATTTACCAATTAATTCATTAAAAATCCTACAATGTGATTTCCTGGATTCTTTCCCCCCATTCTGTCTCTCATAGTTGAAGTGTACCTAGGATGAAAATAACAGGCCTCTCTCATCTTTTTAAGTGAGAGAACCTTGCACAATTGGTGGCTGACTAAATACTTTTTTTGCCCCACTGTATATCAGTCTCTTGTACAGTATATGTGCTGAACTTCCAAGATTCAGTTTGCATGTATGATATAAATATATAATTCTCCAATAAGGCCTTTGCTTACAGCTGATGTTTAATTCTGCTCCTCCAGTGAAACCTTTGATTATGTGTCCACGATTTACAGTTTCACTGTATAGAGTGCTGAAGTCCCTCCCCTTCTGGGGGAGCTTCATGGGACCTTATTTCGGAAAAATTATGTATTGAAGTCAATGGAGAGAGAAAGATTATCTTTCGAATTGTGCCACGAATTACACATATGATGTTTGTCAATTTAAAAGATGATTTTGCAAGTAAAAAAAAAGAAAATGTGTTGTAAAACTGTGAAGTAACACATTTTTTTGTGAAACGCTCAATGAACTACATCTCTGGTCTCACACAACAACACACGTCACCAAGATGGCCGTCACTACTGTCTTGTCAAAAAAGGGATTGACTACCCTCACAATGAAACACGTCCAGAAGAATGTCATGCAAAGCTGCCTGTCTGCCTGTCTTCCTTTGATTCTCTGAACTGCCTGATCTTTTTGAAGGGAGGCAATCCTCATGACACGCATTTTAAAAAATTATCATCCGATTTTTTTTAATCCGATGACGTTATCAGTGATTTTAAGCTGATTAATTACCGAAATAACATCAACCCTGTGGGCGGTAGGGTTGGGAACCGAAACTCGGTTCCAGATGAGAACCGATAAGAAAATGCCGGGTACCGGGTACCCGTACAAAATACACCTTTTCGGTTCTGCTTAACGGTTCCTAAACGCGGTAGACCCTGTATTCCAGCGGGTCCGTCTGTACCGCGGCGACCCGGTGGAATACAGGGCGGACCTGGAGAATCACAGAACGGCCGGTCGTCAGCGGGCCGTTGACGGCCGGCTCGGTACGCTGACGGCCGGCACCGCCCTTCATTTTTTTAAACGGCATCATATAAATTGCGCTGACAGGCGACAGAGGTCCACAGTTGCCCCGCAGCGAGGCTCCCCCCGCCCTCCCGTAGACAGTTCACGAGCTCAGTCACTTCATAACACCAAAGATGGGTCGCGGTAAACGCTCTGAAGTGAGGCTCCACTACACTAAAAAATAAAAAGACAATTGGGCACAGTGTTAATAGCTTGCCACAGGCATTGCTCAGTTAAAATAAAGCACAGCTATTGTGCAATACATTTGTATTGCATGTATATTTTTTATTTGTAACAATTTCAGTTAAAGCTGAAAAGAATAAAGATATTTTTGTTATCTAAACGTTTGACCTCTTTCTTTTACAATTTTGGAATCGAAACGGGGAATGGATAAGAACCGGAATTGATAAGCAGAACCGGAATCGGAATCGGAATCGATAAATTTCAAACGATACCCATCCCTAGTGGGCGGCGCCATTTTGACGAGTCACATGACTTATTTGACCGGAAGTGACGTGAACTATGCGTTTGGTGTCGAGGACAAATTGACGTATGTGCTTTGTTCATGTTGTTTACTCTAGTTACTCTCACAATTATATTGAAATATGCCTCATTGTATCGCGAAACATTGCTAAGAAGAAAGGGCTGTACCCTCAAACGTACCTACCTTTCATTTATTGGTTCAACCAAAGAGGTGCGTTTCACATCCTTCATGGCAACCAGTGCTGTTCTCAATACAACTTTTTCTAACACCACAGTGTCGAATTCCCTGTGTAAACATATGCAATCCAAGTCGTCTGTGAACAGTTTATTTTCAAGCAGAGGGTTTTGAGCAGAGGGTCGAGTTGTCAATTCTTGTTCTGTTTGCTGTGACTATCTTCCTCACCCTCTCAGACTTTCAGTTGCACGCGCTACTAAAGAGACGTGCTACCATGGAAACCAAACAATGGTGTAGCTGTATTAAAGTCCGAGTGGAAACAGTCCTGAGTAAATCTGATTTTGTCAGAAATCGGGAGAAATATGACCCCGGGAGGAAACCGGGAGAGGGCAATGAAATCGGAAGTCTCCCGCGAAAATCGGGAGGGTTGGCAAGTATGAACATATGTTCATAAGAGGATTGTCCATGGCTACACACCGATCGCAAGTACACCATTCATGTACAGGTCTCCCTACTCGCCCCCGAAATCAATTGCACGAGTAAGGGATCGTCTCCAGCAAGATCACTGTGCTGTTCATCCTCATCGTCACTGTCATCGTCACTGTCATCGTCATAACACCAGAGGGAGCTCCACAAATCATGTGAAACCCAGATTTGGCACAAAAAAGGGGGAATACGCGTTTCGCAATTATGCCACATCAAGGTGGAACGCTCTTCCCACAACTGTAAAGGAAAGTAAAACTATACTTACCTTCAAAACCTCTCTTAAAGAGCACCTTTGGGGGAGAGCATTGCAAAACTGGCCCCGGTAATGGTACAATTCTCAACCTGTCGTACAATGGACAGCTTCCCCCCCCCCCATCTATGTATATACTCGCATTTTAGACTCTGTTACTAACTGTATATCTGTAGACTTGGTATGTCTTAAATGTCCGGTTAGGATGTATTAGAACGAAATCTAAAATGAAAATTGTAAATAAGCAATCTGTATGTAAAAAACCACCTGTATGTCAATTGTAAATAAGCCATCTGTATGTCAAATATGTCTTATATGTCTTAAATGATATGATGAATTGGAAATGGGGGACCCTGATGTAAACAAGACGAAAGTCTTTCTCTGGTCTGCATCCCCTTAACAATTGTATGTTTTGAGCTGTACTGTACTGTACCCAATATACAAGCTGTTGATAAACTTTTCAATCAATCAGTCCCTGGATTCCTGACGGTTCTGGCCACTTGGCTGTATGGCTGAATTCCCCCATCCAATCTCTCCACATTGCTCAAAACTTCTTCCTCGGCTGACGAGTCCGAACTCAAATACTCTGCCATGTTTTCGTCGAATGAGCTGTTCGTGTGTTTACAAAATGAACGCATAGATGACGTCACAACCTAGTTTTTCGGATCATGTGACTACTGAAAATGGCCAAAATGGCAGCTGCCTGACGGAATATACAGGTTTTGATAAAAAATAGCTATAAAATCTTTATTTACTGGGGAATATCGCTGATTTCTTCAGGGTATGGTTTAAACATAATGTTTCACTAAATACTGAAGTTTTTATTAACTATCTAATGACTGGAGCCTTCCTTTAATGTCAACCATTTGTGCAGATAGCATAAAGTAGAGAAGATCGCTGATGCTAATGTAGCCTTAGCATTTCTCCCCCGGGCTAAATGGTGTATTATAGAATGATAACACCGGTGTGACAGTACTCTTCAAAGGGTTCACGAAATATGACTACTACTCTTACTGTTTAACATTTTGGGTTACTTAATGTTACTTCATGTTAAGGCTAATACAAATTACAAGGCTAAGGCTGTAATGCTAACTAACGTGCTTGCTACTAGCTAGGTAGCTAACTTGATCCAGCCACTCCTGGTCCTTTCATCAGACGGGAAGCGAAAGAACGAGCAAGACCCATTGCTGGTATGATTACAGCCTGGTACTAAGCACACAGGCATCTTGTTAAAGTTATCTTATCTTAGCTATCTCTTATATTTAGCGGAGGAAAACAATTGTGACATCAGTTTGTCACTTATGCGACTCTGGGATTTGTAGTCTTTCTAGTTGCGTATTTTTCATAGTCTTATATTTTAACAGTTTTACGACAAACTGTGACTTTTTTGACATGGAAATAATTGTTTAAGATTGACGAACATCATATGTGTAATTCGTGGCACAATTCAAACGGGATCGAAAGATACGTTTTCTCTCTCCATTGACTTCAATACATAATTTTTACGAAATAAGGTGCCATGAACCGGAAGTAGATGGGCGTGACTTCGCCACTCTATTAAACATTTGTTCTCACTCGTGCTGTTTCTTTGTTTTTCTCCAGTTGTTTTCCTCTGCACTCTTTTGTCGCAACACTCCGCAGTTCGACGATCTGTTTGGTTTCTCTGTGGATGATGTGTTGAGCGAGGTGAAACGAGGACGACAACTGGTAAAGATTCTTGATTGTTTTCTGTCATGAATTGGCCTAATCCAATGTTTGTGTGTTTAGTTGTTTAACGGTCCCCTATCATACTGTTTTTCATCAATTTATTATAGGTCTCAGATATATACAAACATGTCTCTGAAGTGTTTGGCTCGAAATACCAAACAGATCATTGCAGCATCCCATAATCCCCTCTGTTTCAGCCCTGTTTCAAAAGTGCTGATTCTCTGTCTGTTACTTTAGATCAGGAGTGTCAAACTCAAGGCCCGGGGGCCAAACCCGGCCCGTGACTTCATTTTCTGTGGCCCCACAAGAGCCTGCAAAGAATATTATATGTTTATTATACGGTTACATGATGATTTACAGAAGCACGTTGCCCATAAACTACATGTCCCACAATGCATCTCAAATTTGACATTTTTTCTTCGAAATATGCATTTTTCCGGGGCCGATCGCCGGAATCAGTATCGGCCGATACCGATCGCCGATCCGATCGAGTGGGCGGGGGCCTAAATGGAAGATTTAAACATCACTTTAAATCTTTCATTTAAAGCAGGGGTGGGGAACCTCCGGCCCCCGGGCCGTATACGGCCCGCGAGACCATTTGGTGTGGCCCTCGAGGTAATTTATAAACACACGCAAAAAAGAAAAAAATTAAAGAAATCTAGACCGCAAAATAATTAAACAAGTGAGTGCCTGTTTTTCCAGGCCAAGGTCAGGGTCCTTGAACACAATACAAGCCCAACGTGTCATCACGTGGTATATGTCTCGTCCATGGTCTCGTCTGACGGGTGTAGTTCTGACGGGGAGCACCAGAACGCAGCTCCGCTCCGTCACTTCCAAAAATTGCAGTACCCATAAGGAGCCGTACACATGCTGCAGTTTTTGCGTGGCTGTGTCTTAGTTGTAAGCCCAGTGGCGATCTGTCATACTGATCATACAGTCAATAACTTTGTTGTTATTAGCATCTGGTTAGCTAGCTATGCTAATGAATATAAGAAGCTTTTACTACAACCAGTGAGGTAAAGGCACATCTTTATATGATCATTATAGTTATAAAAAATAAGAGAATAAAGTAAACAGGTATAAAATACTATATGACAGTAAAAACAAGTTGTTATTAATAAACAAGAATACAGTTTGAAAGGGGAGTGATTTGTAAAATATCCATAAAGAAAAAGAAAATCTGCTTACAGTTCTGTTTCATATGGGTGTTGAGAGATGTATCCATAGATCTACTAATGTTGCTCTCAAAGTGCACCAGATTGATGCTTTTAACTTCAACATTTAAAAAATAAATCTTCCCGGGGGAGCATGCCCCCCGGACCCCCCTAGAGGGGGTAAGGTCCCCCCCACTTAAATCATGTTCACATGGTAAAGGGGTCTAAATACATTTGCACACATCTTGTGTCCACATCTTTCTGTTTGGGTGGTCATGCCACAACTCTGCACGTGCATGCATTCGTGAGTAATAGCAAGATATCTGGATTAAGAGGTTGCTTTTTCTTTGCACAGCATGAAAGAAAGGTGAAATGAGTGGGCTGTGATTTTAGTATTTTTAAGCAGAGGTCAATAATTTGTACGGCCCTCTGAGGATGTTGAAAACATTGAAATGGCCCTTGAGAGGAAAAAGGTTCCCCACCCCTGATTTAAAGTGATGTTTAAAACTCAGTTAATGGGGCTCATTCACTGGAGCTTCCACAAACAACAATCAACTTAATTATTACATTCAAATGATGTACATTATTCAAGTTTACATTCACTTTGGATAATAACACGGGAGAAATTAGCGGAAGCGCTCTCTTTTCCTCTCTCCCTCTCTCTCTCCCCCCTCTCTCCCTCTCCTGACAGCCTGTCAGTATCTCATGCAGCTCACTGATCCAGTAATGAGTGACCCGACAATGAAGAATACATATATTTATAATAACTAGTTTAGCTTGTTCCAGAGGTAGATAAAATAGCTAAATGTGTTAGATCTAACTCGTACGGTACGTCCACACAGCAGCTTTTCAAAAATCTTGAAAATCTTGGAGCTGGGCGTGTCTGAAAGCTTGGGGATTTTTTGCGAGCACATACAAAGCAAAAAACCCCGGGGATTTAATGCGAGCAATATATATATATATATATAAATATATATATAAACTCCCCAAACAGGCGAAAACCTACCAGTTTCACCCACTGTCTCTGCCACCTCCCTCCATGCCTGGTTCCTCCGGTTTGTATCCCGTTAATAATTCTGGTCGTAAAGAACCGGGTGATTTGCTACCGTAATTTCTCGTTTGGAATATGAGGAAATGAACTGCGGTCTGGTTCTCCCTGTGTGCGTGTTTCGTTGCGCTTACCGGTCCGGCGGGCGGAGCTGCAGGATTTCTGCTTCACACACGTTGCATACCGCTATTTTACTGTCTTTTTCGGACACCTTAAAATAATGCCAGACCGGTGAAGCCATTTTGGCGAGCTTGTTTTGGCGCACACAGAGAAAAGTGTCATGTATTTTACGTCATGCGATCGGCATGTTTAGAGAGCACCGATCGATTGGTAGAGAGTGAGTATCGGCCGATCTCGATCGGTGACCGATCGATCGGAGCATCCCTAGTGCACGCTATTACGGGCAATATAGAGCACGCACAAAAGCGGGAGCACACACACACTATTAAGATGTTAAATATTATTTTACCAACAATGTGGAATTTACATTCATTTAAGTAGGCTATCAAAGCATTGCTAATTCCTCGCTACATATTGCACAGATTCTGCGTAATACTAATAATTTTTAATTTTTATTTAAATATTTTTAGCAGATTTAGCGTTTTTAGTGAGAAAGAATTCCGAGATACGTTTTTGCGCCATGTCAGTTACTTGTCACTTGTGTTGTACGTCATGGTAAAAGTAGCCGACTAAAAACGAACAAAAAACTTGTTTTCCACATCTTTTTTATTTTTCTTCCTTGAAGCTAAATAATGTATTATATAGTTTTAAATGATCATTTGAATAATAATATATTATATAAAATAAATCTCAGGCACAATGAAATGAAATAAAAACATTATATAAAAAAATAAAATGTGCAGGCAGAGGAGCTCCGCCTGCCTGCCGCTATGTGCTGCAGTACCCTCAGCACCCCCTTCCTGCGCCCCTGAACACAATGGTGCTCTAGGAGGAGATTCAGGTGATAAGGTGGGGGGTCACCTTGGTTGGTGGCTAATGGTTACACAAACCAAACAATCGTTATGACATCATAAAGTGGCCAAAATCTGATCAGCTGATTTCCAGACAGGTTTTTATATAAATGGATCAGGACAAAAAGTGAGCTAATCTTTCTTCCTGAAACTTTCAGAATCTCTTTACGCAGAGGGGACACATGCTATATTTTAATGTGTATGTCAACGTCTTAAATTAACTATATTTTAATATATAAAAGACATGAAAAAGTGGATTTTGCATAATAGTGTGTGGGCCGGCATAGGACATTAACTCATTTGTTTGTGTAAGATCTGTAACAAATGTAAGAAGAGGGGAGCCACGGCTGGGTGTGAAGTCGGACGCTGCAAGAAGTCCTACCACTACCCGTGTGCTGTGGAAGAAAGGGCCAAGATCGTTGAGGATATAACAAAGGAGGAATATGTGTAAGTCCAATATCAACATTTTCTGTGTGTCTGGGTTATAAATGACCCTGTCCTGCAGTATGAACAAAGTGAAGTGTAAATTGGTTTTGATGTCAAACAACGTTGTGTTCTGCTTCAGGCTGTACTGCTACAAACACTATCCAAAAACACAAGGTAGGTGTGGAATTTCTTGACCTTCTTCCTGTCAAAACATATTTTCAGTTTATGACATATTATGCGTTAAAAATGTATTTCCCATTTCCAGAAAACAACCCCTCCGAAAATGAACGTCTCTCTTTATCCAGAGCTTACAGAAATCCTGAAGAAGCTGGAACATCTAAGGTTTGGTTTATGAAACTGTCTTCTACCTAAATGTATAGCAAACCACTTAAAACTGTGCATGTCTTTAATAAATAATTACCTTAAAGGCAAGGCAAGTTTATTTATATAGCACTTTTCAACACAAGGCAATTCAAAGTGCTTTACAACAAATGAAAGACATTAAGAAAATCAGTCATTTAAAAAGAAAAGCTAATAAAATAAACATTAAAAGAAAAAATACATGGATAAAAGTTACAGTGCAGTCTAAGATATGAATAGTTCAATTAAACATTAAAAGAAAAAGTACATGGATAAAAGTTACAGTGCAGTCTAAGATATGAATAGTTCAATTAAAAGCAGCGACAAAAAGAAAAGTCTTCAGCCTGGATTTAAAAGTAGTCAGAGTTGCAGCGGACCTGCAGGTTTCTGGGAGTTTGTTCTAGATATTTGGAGCATAATAACTGAACGCTGCTTTACCATGTAGAGGTTCTGACTCTGGGGACAGAAAGCTGACCAGTCCCTGAAGACCTGAGAGATCTGGATGGTTCATAATTTAGCAGGAGGTCAGAAATGTATTTTGGGCCTAAACCATTCAGTGCTTTATAAACCAGCAGCAGTATTTTGAAATCTATTCTTTGACACACAGGAAGCCAGTGTAAAGACTTCAGAACAGGAGTGATGTGATCCACTTTCTTAGTGTTAGTGAGGACTCGAGCAGCGGCGTTCTGAATCAGCTGCAGCTTCCTAATAGATTTTTTTAGTGAGACCTGTGAAGACACCATTGCAGTAGTCGAGTCTACTGAAGATAAAAGCATGGACAAGTTTTTCCAAATCCTGCTGTGACATTAGTAATTTAATCCTAGATATATTCTTTAGGTGATAGTAGGCTGATTTAGTAACTGTTTTAATGTGACTGTTGAAACTCAGGTCAGAGTCCATGACTACACCTAGATTTCTGGCTTTATCTGTTGTTTTGAACATTGCACACTGAAGCTCAGCGCTAACTTTTATACGTTCTGACTTGGCTCCAAAAACCATTACCTCAGTTTTATCTTTGTTTAATTGGAGAAAGTTCTGACACATCCAGTCATTGATTTGTTCAATGCACTTACTCAGTGTTTGAATTGGAGCATAGTCTCCTGGTGAAATTGTTACGTAAATGTGTGTGTCATCTGCATAGCTATGGTAACTTATTTTGTTGTTTTTCATTATCTGAGCCAGTGGTAGCATGTAGATGTTAAAGAGAAGAGGCCCCAAGATGGAGCCTTGAGGAACCCCACATGTCATATTTGTCAACTCAGATGTGTATTTACCTATAGAAACAAAGTTGTTTCTGTCCTTTAAGTAGGATTCAAACCAATTTAAAACTGTTTCCGAAAGTCCCACCCAGTTTTCCAGTCGGTCTAGTAATATGCTGTGGTCAACAGTGTCAAACGCAGCACTGAGATCTAATAATACTAACACTGAAGTTCTGCCACTGTCTGTGTTTAAGTGGATGTCATTAAAGACCTTTACAAGAGCAGTCTCAGTGCTGTGGTTTGGACGAAAGCCTGACTGGAACACATCGAAACAGTTATTTAAATGCAAGAAATTACTCAACTGTTGAAAAACAACTTTTTCAATGATTTTACCTAGAAATGGGAGGTTTGATATGGGCCTGTAATTGTTCATTACTGAAGCATCTAGATTATTATTTTTTAAGAGCGGTTTAATGACTGCAGTTTTCAGGGCCTGTGGAAAAATACCTGAGTGAAGAGATTTGTTTACTATATGAAGTAGATCTGAGGCCATGCAAGGCAAAACATCTTTAAAAAATCATGTTGGAATAAAATCAAGGCAGCAGGAGGAGGATTTCAGAAATTGTATAATGTCCTCTAGGTTTTTATCATTAATCTGATGGAATTGTGTCATGGTGTTTGAATTGATGTTAAGTGGACACAGAGACAACACATTTGCTGTTCCTGATGTAGAGGCACTGACTGCTTGTCTGATTTTCTGAATTTTGTCAGTGAAGAAGGCAAAATCATTGCACGCCCTGGTGGATAGAAATTCAGAGGCTACTGACACTGGGGGGTTAGTTAGTCTGTCGACGGTAGCAAACAAAGCACGTGCGTTGTTTTTGTTTTTGGTAATGATGTCAGAGAAGAACGATTGTCGTGCATTTTTCAATTCCAAATTATAAAGGCCAAGTCTCTCTTTATAGATTTCAAAGTGAACCTGGAGATTTGTTTTTCAGCCACCTGCGTTAAGCTTTTCGACATTCTCTTTTTTCTGTTTTCACGCTCATGGACTTTCTCCATGGAGATATTTTCTTGCCAGACATTTCCTTTACCTTAGTTGGAGCAATGGCATCTATAACATTTTTAATTTTTGAATTAAAATGATCTACTAGCTCATTTACTGAGATGTTAGCAGGGGCAAGTGTGGAAGAACAATTCTGAGTAAACATTTCCCTAGTATTTTCAGTTAAATATCGCTTTGTGGTTACCTCTTTTTGAACATTTTTGTGAACAGAAATAGAGCTCTCAAAGAAAACACAGGAATGGTCAGAGAGTGCAACATCAGTCACCACAACCTTAGAGATATTCAGACCCTTTGAGATAATTAAGTCCAGAGTGTGCCCCTTATTGTGCGTGGGCTCCGTCACATGCTGAGTCAGTCCATAGCTATCAAGAACACAAAACAGTTATTTTGCCCCTCTGTCCTGGGGGTTGTCAACATGGATGTTAAAATCACCAACAATGACTAGACGGTCAAAGTCAATACACACTATAGACAGCAGTTCAGTAAAGTCATCAAAAAAGCTTGCACAGTATTTGGGTGGTCTATAGATATTTAGGAACAGAGCTCGAGAGGAGCATTTCAGCTGAAGGGCCACATATTCAAAAGAAGCAAAGTTCCCATAAGATGTCTTCCTGCATTGAATGGAATCATTGAACAGAATAGCAACTCCACCTCCTCTCTTATGCATTCTTTCCTGACTCATAAAACTAAAGTTGGGAGGGGTTGATTCGATAAGAACAGCTGCACTGTTATTTTGTTCAATCCAAGTTTCCGTTAAAAACATAAAATCAAGATTGTGCTCAGTGATAAAATCATTGATTAAAAATGTTTTTCCTGCCAGAGACCTGACATTTAATAAAGCTAATTTAAGTTTGTTAAACACACTATCAGTCAGGTTTTTTGTAACAAGCTGTGGCTGACATGGAATCACTGCTAAATTAGATAAACTCACACAAACGTTTGAGCGCTTCCTGTTTCTAAGATGATTCACCGCTCTTAATCTATTACCTATCAACACAGATATCGGCAAAGCTATAGGCAGGCAGGGCCCCGGCATGTCCTGGAAAGAGTTGAGAGTGCCATACGCCCTTGAGCCTGGACCCAGCACATATCAGTTTGCAGCGTTTAGTACACACACATCCTTATCAGGCTTCGGAGACTGCAGATGCTTTCTTGAAGGGAGGGGAGGTGGTTGACGTAGGCACGGTGATGGAGACGGGGGAGATGGTGCGGGGGTAGAGGACATGCTGCCAGGGGGGGGAGGTGGTTGACGTAGGCACGGTGATGAAGACGGGGGAGATGGTGCACGTCTCTGCGGTGATTTTGGTGGGCGTCGTTGAGGAGCGGGGGTAAAGGACATGGTGCCAGCCCTGCGTATCGCCTTAGTTTGGTCTTTGAACTCCAGGAAGGAATTGGTGCCAACCCTCTGTATCTCCTTCATGTGTTCAACGATCCCCAGGAGGGTGGGCGAGGGTGAAAGGGTGAACGGAGTATCCTCAAAGGCGTTGACAGGGGGGAGGGGGGGGGGGGGGGGGGCAGTGGAGACTCCTCCATGTGTCTCATAGGTCTCCCATAATCAGAACATTCCTCAGGCGGGTGCAGTGATAATTCTTCAGGGTTTTCTGCGCGATATGTTGTGTCTTTCTCCTGTTTTGATTCCTCTTGCCGCTTGTCCTTGGCAGAGGGAACAGATTGATAACGCAGGCAGTTGAATATGTTAGAGATAAACAATTTCACTCCTGACTTGTTCAGGCAAACTCCATTAACTAGCTGTGAGTTAGCATACCCTTCTCTATTATTTTGCAACACTGGTAAAGTGGTGTCATTCCCATGACATAGTCCATTCACTTCCACGTTAACTTCCAACCGTTGCATTTTCATTTCCAACACAGCTATCTTCTGTATAAGTTTGTGGAAGTCATCTGTAGAGAATGGAGGCATTTTGCTACCAACTAGCTTAAGCTAAATAGCATGCCGTAGCCTACCAGGCTTTAGCTGTTGCTAGGCCACGCTACTGTAAGACTGAGGTCGTCGTAAAAATGTTGAAATATGGCTGAAACCCTCCGTCTATTGTACGAAGATGAACTGTCCCAGTGATAAGTAATGTCCAGGAGCCGCTGCTCGAAGTTTTCAGAGAATAGAGATAGGAAATCAGCATAAAAAGTAGTAAGTAGAGGCAGGAGCAAGCAGAAAAGCGTCTGCACTGTAAGAAAGATAAGATAAGGGGACCTATCATGCAAAATGCACTTTTGCACATCTTTTATACATGAATATTTGTCCCCGGTGTGTCAGGGAACTCACCAATGACGCGTTTCCACTGCAGGCCTCGCTCGGCCTCGCTCAGTTTGGTTAGGCAAGGCAAGGCAAGGCAAGGCAAGGCAAGGCAAGGCAAGGCAAGGCAAGGCAAGGCAAGGCAAGGCAAGGCAAGGCAAGGCAAGGCAAGGCAAGGCAAGGCAAGGCAAGGCAAGGCAAGGCAAGGCAAGGCAAGGCAAGGCAAGGCAAGGCAAGGCAAGCAAGGCAAGGCAAGGCAAGGCAAGGGCAAGGCAAGGCAAGGCAAGGCAAGGCAAGGCAAGGCAAGGCAAGGCAAGGCAAGGCAAGGCAAGGCAAGGCAAGGCAAGGCAAGGCAAGGCAAGGCAAGGCAAGGCAAGGCAAGGCAAGGCAAGCAAGGCAAAGGCAAGGCAAGGCAAGGCAAGGCAAGGCAAGGCAAGGCAAGGCAAGGCAGGCAAGGCAAGGCAAGG